TATGAAATCAACAGCACTTTCTCATACATTGGGACCTTTTCTATCAGTTCAATTGAAAGGAAATGAGCTTGAATTGGCATTTATGGCAAAATTGAGATTGTGAGGCCTGATTTCTGTTATCAAAATACTACAGTTGATATACAAGGTGCATCTATTTTTTCTCTTTTGATATGGGCTCTGAGTTGCCAAAGCTACACAACTGTGTGTGCTGACCTACAATTGCACCTGGTATTCATTCAAAATGTTGAAACTTGAAAGCTACATTGTGTACATGTACGTAGTAAGTTTTGAAATCATTAGTTTGGTAAAACACTGCTTGAAAGGCAGTTGAATAATTTGGGAAACCTGAAGAGAACTATTAAAAGATTTAGGGGAGTTCAACATTATCTAGATTAGTAGTACAACTGTTACTCCGACAAAAACAAATCAAAACATGAATTCACTAGTCAGCAACATCTGCAAATGTATAGGCCTATAAAAGGGTAAAAGTGCAAGAATCAAATTGCATTACCCAAGAATATGACCAAATCTAATTCATATAGAATGACCATATCTCACAAGCTTCCTATATATGCCGCATCCATTTGGCCTTTAAAAAATAATATCCTAAGTGACTTAAGTATTCCTAAATGGATTACAGAGTGTAACACCAGATGCTGGGGACATTTTCATTACAGAGGAAATTCCTCCTGGCTCCATTAGCCCCTGTGTATGTGTTCTCATGGTGGTTGTAGTACATTTGTCATATAAATGTATATTGTATCTCATATACTTTGCATTTTGTTTGCTTACATTAAAGCAAGTAAGAGAAATTCATATAAATATGTAATGTAGTAAATTTTCCACATTAATAGGGTCTGCTTGTAAGCAGATCAAACAACAAAATTACTAGATCATCCAACCAAAACTTGTATAATAAGAGTAGGAGCCTAAAAGCTTAGCAGATTGTGGCCACGGCCATGCATTCCTGTCTGTATTGTTATGCTAATTGCTACATGTCATACACAGGACACATAATAGTTTGGGCGAAGAATTAATACTGGGTGGATCTGAGAGGCGAAAAATGTGTTGGAAACTAACAGAATTTGTTACAATGGCTTTTACATGTACATGTAAACATACTTGTACAACTTTACTGCACATGTAGGCTAAGTACTGTACAAATATGAGAAATTGTAATGAAATGATTTAATAACTTTAAGCAAATTGTCTGTACTTCAACAAGCATATCTACAGTATTAACAATATATATCATCTATCATTCTAACAGAGTGGACTTCAGTAAATTCTAGTATGTACATGTGAAGTGTATGCTGAAGTATACATGTAGCTGAAGCTGAAGTATTCACAATAAGAACACTTACATGTCTATATGCCTACTATTAAAAGCTAACTGTGTATACATTTGGCTGAAAGTTCAGTCGTAACATTTCGCTGGTTCAATTAGTACACAGCAGGATCTCACTCGCATGCATTACAACATTCACACGTGTAGTGCACAATTAATTGGTAATATAAAGGTTAAACACTGACTGCCAAAATAATATTGGCAGAGAGAACACACCTTGGGAGATTTGACCTATTTTAAGCCAACTGCCAAAAAAGTGGGCCAAATTTGTTGGAGTATTCTGAACTAGTCAAACGACCACCACACCCAGGAAATACTCCCAACCCAAGCAACAGCTCTCTAATCTCAAACCTCAGCTCAGGCAGGTACATATAGATAGGATTATAGGTAGGTAGGTAGTATGAAATAACATATAAAGCCATCATTGATCCAGAAGAAATCATGTTCTTCACTGTACATAGCAAAGTCAGGTGGCTATGCGAACGAATGCATACAGTACTGGTGCTCACACATACTGTACACAGTATGATCTGGCGACAATTGCTATAGATTCTATATATCATTCCTGTTATAGGCCTACATATACATGTACATGTTCCTGTAGGGCTAGAGTTATTAGTTTGGTACAGGGTGAAGTGAAGAATGTATGACATTCACAAAATTAGAAGAGGAACAGTGTAGAGTCAAGTGATACTTGACGACTTCCTATCTAATTACTCATCAATACAGTGTGAGCTCTTCCCTTAGTAAGTGTGAATTTTTCATGGGACTATTAGTGGCTGCCGCTAATTAGATTAATTTCACGTCGAGATCCTGTTGCCCTAAATGTAGAAACCATAGACATTCATCACCTTTCATTCGTCCATTATGGCTTTATTAATTGTTGGAAACTGGATAATTTATAACCTCAATATTCATTAAGGATATAAAGAAAAGATCTGGTAAATAATAAATACATGTATATACTAGTTCTTGACTTTATACCTCAGGAAGTAGCAGTGGTATACATTACTTTGTTTATGTACATGTAGCACAAGCCTAGAGCAGTCATGTCAAAGGGGGAGGGGTGGGAGTTGGAGTGGGGACAGTCTTACTACCAGTATGTGGATGAATGATGCAAAATGCCATCAATTTGGGCAAGTTTATAGGAGGGTTGTGTATTATCTTCCCATTTATCCCCTCCTCTCACTTTCTTTCTTTCTTTCTTTCTTTCTCTCTTTTAATTAATTGTTGGGGGGAGGAGCATTTGATTGGAGGGACATGTGTCAACCTGCTCCCTTGCCACTCACCCCCCCCCCCCACCCCCTCAATGTTATTCCACTGTACTATAATATGGGCTACTATATTAGTCTGATATAAATCATCCTACATGTACATGTACTTTCAAAGGCTAATTACACACCAATGAATTGTTAAGACAGGGTGTTCACTTAGTGGATCACGGAAATAAGAATTGTAAAGTGTGTAATCTGAACCACATGTAACCCCGTTACCTGCAGCAAATAGACCTCATTCTTCTTCGTCTTGACACTCAAACACTACTAGTGTACACAACAGGGCAGGGGATGTAGTTTGCATGCAAATCCTTTTGCATATTTCTTTTTTAAAACCATCAAATCAGAAAATTCAATAAAGAATCTATTATGTCATATACGTACTTTACTCGTTTTACCATACAGAAATAATCACATCATACTACATACTTACTTTTTCCTTTAATTTTACAAACAATGACAAAAAATAATATTGATATCCTTGAATATTTATAGTTTCTTGAAACTGGGAAGTATATTGTTCAAGCAAGAACTTAATAGAGTATGGGGGTGAATAGAAACTGAAAGAAGTGCACTTTATATTGTGTGCTCATGACTACAGTGTAATCATATGAAGTGGTTTCATCTTCTTGTACCTTAGAAACGAGCAAGGCTGAAGAGGGAGAGAGAGTGCTGTATTAATAGGAGCGTTGCCAATTCAAGGCAAGTTGCTGATAGACGCCGTCTGTTGCGATGTTTATACTGCGTCTCACAGGAGGGAGGAAAACAAAACATGAACATGACATGGACAGGTAGCAAGCAGTACATGACATGTTGACATAGTTCTCCCCTTCTCTTGTAGTATACATGTACACTGTATGCAACATGAAATTGAATGTATTGGGAGTTGTCCTCTACTGACATTTTCTTTATTTCTCACTGCCTCCCATCCTAGTTTGGCTGCACATTGACAGTCATAGAATTTACGTTTTATTTTCTTGTTATTGTTTTTCACCACCTAATGTTTTCAAATAATTTTCTTCAAGTATATAGATTGAATTCTATCTGTGATCCATTGTTTGCACTAACATGATTTTGCAACCAGATTCAGCATAAATACATATTGTAATTGAAAATAATATGTTTTGGACACATATTGATTTTAAAGATGAAGTTGAGTTCTGGTCATGCGATTGCATTGTGAAAGAAATGGTGTGAATTCGATCAGAAAAGGTTGATCATGTAGCATATAAGTATTGGTGAGTAAGGCAAGGTTCTGGAATCATTGAAATGATAAGAAATCTGGCCAAGTCTTGGTAAAGTTACGAGCACTTCACACAGAAAGATGTAGGGTCTATGGGACTACACGAACACGTGGCATAAAAAATCTGTCCCAATTTTTACAATGTTACATGCCATATTTATTTAGAATATGTAGGCATTTGAAGAGCCATACTTCTCAGGGAACATGGTTTATCTGATGTTCTCCAAATTTGCATAATAACAATGATATTGCTCACAACTCTTCCCAGATCTCAACCTTCTCTTTATTTAAGTTTGAACTTCATTTATTGCATTTACCAGTCATCAATTTAATGTTTGAATCAATACATAGTCTACACTGTTTGATTATCAAAAATATACCAACATCTAAATAAATTCCACTTTTTCAATTTATGCCACCATGCCATTCATGATTCACGGCCATCCATTCATTCTTTCTTACATTACACTGCACTGCATTGAGGCAATAACTTCAATGCCAAAGGCAAGCCAGACAACACCAAAGCTTCGGGAGGCTGTGGGGGTGTGTGTGAGAAACTCTGATCCTCATGCAGCAAGTGTGTGCATATTCCCATTCATCTATTGTGTGGATTTGCATTGCAAAACAATCTCAGTTCTTCTTACCTAAATTTATGCCTTTATTTGGAACGAGACTGAGAAGGTGAGCCAGGAAACCTAGGTTTATCTCCAGATATTGATCCGAGTAGACTTCGTTACAAGCCAAAAGGTAGCACAATATTTAAAAAATCTCCGTCAAAATCCTGGAAATCCTGTTCGAAAATAAATGCGCATTTCGTAACCTTCCTTCCGTGTATTCTTGCTACCATTTTGTGACAGATCAAACACCACATGTATGATACACGCATGCGCGATGTTTCGGGGTCATCCCCGGGCCAGCAGAGTCCAATCTATTACGAAGGGGTGGTATCTTCTCAATAATGCATAATTTTTAATTTTTACTTATCTATAATGCATAATAACATTTTTAAATATTTTTAATAAAATTTCTTTTAAGTATTAACAAGATTTTGCTCTCTAAATTTAGTTTTGATGAGTTAAGTGGATAATTGTAAACAGACTTTACCCCTATTTCCCAATCGATCCTTCTGTAAAAGGTAAATAAGCAGTTGCAGGTGAATGAAGATAGGATAAATGGGCGATTACTGACGTGAAAATTCGAAAAATGGAGGTGAAAACAAGCTCATATTTCATCGGTAGGTGTATAGTTTCGATATTCCTAAATATTGTGTTCTTTGCCTTCTTTTTCCATCTATTTATTCATGTAGTATTTAGTTATTTCGTGAAATTAGGCATGCACACTACTGTATGGTCATGAACAGTGTTTGGAGCATCTGCCGGTACCGTGTATTCGCATAGGCCTGGTGCAGCGGCCTGGGTTGATTCCCGAATGTGTGTGGATGCTATTGACTATTGTCTATTCTACACTACAAACAGTACATGACTATAATACTCTACTTCTTCATTTTGTTTTTCTGTTGAATGCTCTAATGCAGAGATGCAAAAATGTGATTTATCACTTTATTATGTCAACATGTAAACACGAATAATCCAGCTTCTGCTGCTTTTCATGTAAAATGACAATTAGATCTAGATCTAGAGTAAAGGAGCCGGTAATCGGCCAGCTCCAGTTTTCGGCCGATTGGTTGGATGCAAGGTAAAATCACTCTAAAATACATCGCATGATAGCATAACACATATCCCACACATACCATACCATGCCAGTGTCACTGAAGAACCACATTTGCAATGGAAAATATATCCTAAAATATCACATTTTAGCGATGTAATCGCCGGTCCCGCTACCCAAATCTGAAAAATCGAGTATCTTACGCGTGTCTGTAAGAAATATGGGTACCATAAAATGAGCTTTATTTCAAGTATTTTTCAGATTTAGAGCCCGATTTTGTGCTAGTCGCAAGCTCAAAAGTATCTCATCGCATGTATTAAATCAATGCAGCCGCACACCGCGACGCACACACGATATCTCTGTCTAATTCAGATTCCAACTTCCGATCACCGCTGTGCCTGTCTTCGGCCAGGCGAGCACCAGGGAGCTCCGGCGTGGGATACCTGCTCCGCCCGCTTGTGCTGTACATCAGCGCGGAAACGCACGGCGCGCGCGAGCGCTTCCTATTGACTTTGTACATGCGGCCGTAAACTGAAACGCTCGGCCGATAACTGGCTCCAAAACAGTGAAAATTGAAATGAATATTGTCATGGCAATTCGTGATTTTTTTCTGGGATTCTTTTTTTGTTTAAATAATAATAATATTTGCTTCATGATTTGAACAAGAAATGATAATAAATAGGAAGTAAAGAGTCCTAAAAATAGGATTTTGTCTTAAGTGGCCGAAAACGGGCTCCTTTACTCTAGATCTATGACTATGATGCATGTATTTTAAAATTACATAATAAACCATTAATTGAATTGAATTCTTCTTCTTCTTCTTCCTCTTCTTCCTCCGTAAATGCTACTTCATACAACAAAGATTACGCACTGCAGTGTGGTGTGTGCCATGTCCAAAATTTGTGTAGGTCTCAACCCAGGTGCAAAATATATATATACAGTGATGTGCTGTTAAAAATCCAGAGAAAGAAAGTTCACAGTGTCCTTCTTGAATTGATTGCAAACGAGTTACATTTGTTCTTTTCTATTGGTATGACAAAAATCATTAACTGTAAGAAACAGGTATTCTTGTTTAGCTTCGCCTTGGAACTAAGATTAAGAATAGATACCAAGATTGCACATAAAAATTTAGCTTTTATTAGTGCATGCGCATTACGCTCATCCGATCTCAGCCTTATTTTCCTAAATTGGCACCTACAAGGGCCCTTCTTATTGGCTATCACTGGCTACCATTCGCTCAATGTTAAGATATTGGTGTGAGGAGAAAGCTTGCGATTTCCCGTTTGATTATTATTATTATACCAAAATCATGATATTTCAGTCAAACCTCTTTTTGTTTCGATTTTTTCAGCATCCTAAATCAGTAAATGGGTTAGGTATTTCACTTAAGTTTAAGTCTGACATACCTTTTTATTTAAGTTAGAAAAATTTTCATTTTCGTCATATTTAAGGTACAAACTTGCAAGTTGTACTGAAATGTTTGTTGATATTTCTATTTATGTGTGTACCTACATATATGCTGAGTGTGCCTCATTTACATGTACACTGTATGTGTAAAGTGCGTCACCTGTTAAAGCATGACATCTAAGTGTGTTATGTAATATTATGTATTGGCATTGCCGTTGCGCTTAAGTTGCATTTAAGTTGCGCTTGAGTGAAGTAGGCCTTCTCTCACTTAAAATCGAAGCTACTCAAGCGGATCGGCCAATGGGAGCATGTTTTCTAAATGTACAGCGCTCAATGCGTAAAGTTCTACATAGATTGGCTAGAAGTAGAAGTAGAACTACAGTACTTGATACTTGATGAGGTAATCCGTGAAGCAGCTTTTCCAAGCTATACTGGGATGGGATGTGTTGTGACAGCAGGTGAAGGTGCAGACAACAAAAGGTGTACAATTTCTTTATAACAGTGCAAGTAAGAAGAGAAAAAGTTGTACTGTAAGCTCTGTTTTCTAATTTCTATGACACCTAGCCTGGAAGATTCCCGGGGAGAGAAAATGTTACACTGTACGCTCCCTCTCCTTTATGGCGCCTAGCCTGGAAGATGCCCAGAACTTGTAGGAGAGAAAACAGTAGAATACAGAACTTGTAGAAGACTGAACACCTCATCATCATCATCATCATCATGATACAAGGAGAGGTAGATCCTGTAATCCTCGGTCACTTCTTCAGGGTTGGTTAAGTTCTAGAGGTTAACACCTGCTAGAAAAGATCTTCCCACTCCAAGGCCAAGGGCGAGATCTTCACAAAATCCTCACTGTTACCCAGCTCCATTCTCCTCCCTTATTATTAAACTATATGATGAACTGAAATTAGCAAAACTAATTTTTTTTCTACAAGATCCGGGGCGGCGGAGGAGGGGGGGGGGGTACTCAGATGTGGTTTAAACGTGGGTGTGCCGCTGAAGCCTCGAACCGCCTACCCACTTTTAAGGGTCATTTAGGGGGATTTTTCTTGAAGTAAAGCCTTTTTTTTCCTTCAATCTTTGAGGTGTAGTTTGAAAATTTTGAAAAATCGGACCCATGTTTAGGGATATTTTTGTTAAAATGAGACCCAGGTTTAGGTATTTTTTGTGAAAAAGTGACCCATTAGAATGGCACACCCCTATATGTCTTAATAAGTGAGCTAGGGTGTCGTTCCGATCTTCCGATCCGATAAAAGCCCCAATTCGATTTTCCAATCTTTTTTGTCTGACCGTAATATACTAGTAGTAGTACAGCATTTATTGTGATGCTGAATATGTTGCAGCTGAATTGCATTGGGGCTATATGTGTCTGTCAGATCATTGCATGATAAACATCAAAAACTACACAAGCACGTTCTATTCGTGATCTTACTTGCAGCTAGTATGTATTGCATGAACTTCACTCGACAACTGTTACATAGATACGAGGATTGTTGCGAGTTTGCAACGCGATTTAAGAAAATTACTCTGTTATACATACAGAGCTATCGGTGACCGCAACTTGCGATGGGACACTTGCGATGGGACACTTGCGACTCACAAAAAATATTTTATCTAAAACTGAAAATTTCTTTAAATACAGCCCAGGTTTTGGTACTATGTTGCCTTACAGACACACTTAAGAGATGTGCATTTTCAAAATTTAGCAGCGGGACTGTCGGTAAGATCGCTGAAATGTGACATTTATTGATAGTTATTTTCATTGCTTCTATATGTGATATGCTATGATGCTGTGCATTATAAGATGATTCTGCAATGGTATGTTTTTTTTAATCAATCAGAAGTGGATTTTTTTTGTACATCAGCAGAATATAAAAAGAGGGAGGAGGAGAGAAGAGAATAAGGGTTTTACAAATTTTATTTGAATGACTTTTTGCAATTTGCAAACTATATTACGTTGACTTTTTTTAAATAGCTTTCAAAAGACATTTATTTGTACTTCCTTTCAAATGAAGAAAAGAAAATGAGTCAATAGCACTGTAATGGAAGTCAAGTTTCATATTGGTATTTGTCCCCTGCCATAGAAATGACAAAAATGGGAAAATCACAGTATCAGTATGGATGTACTACATGACTCACTGAAGTGAGTTACTTGGCCTATTCAGATAATATGAAATGCTGCCATCTCTTGTTCAGGTAAGACTCTGGTTAAGCTGACAATTCTCTGTCACCTCACATAGATATCCATCAAAAGAACTTTTGTACCAATAACCTGGGCCTCTCTTTGCTTCCTTCCTTCCCCCACCTATGAAAGTCATGATTAGATTATGTGCTTCATGTTTGTTACTCTTTCTCATATCCTGACTCTCAACTGTGAACCAAAGTAGTTTTATTTCAGGAGAGGCTTAAGGGTAGGGGATGGGATCAAATGATTAACCAATATAACTATTCTTCAAGAAGCACTAAAACCTCTTTTTTTTTCAATCATTATCATCCTCCATGCTATCAATTTATTTCTCTTCAATAAATGCATCCATACACATTTTTTCAAAAGGTATTGAGATGAACATGGGATAAGAAAAAGAAAACCACGTCTGTTGCAATCTGTACGGGTCGAAAGGGAAACCGAAGTACAGAAGCAGCATAGTCAGAAATAAACCTGTCAAACTCAATTATCCTTGAGAAACTCTTCTTCCAGGCATATTATCTTTTTTCTCTATCCATTTCCTTAATCATGTCATTTCTATTGACAAATGGAGGAAAGGGGCATTTTGAAAATGTTTCAGTAGATACAGCATGTAAGTGGATACAGGCCTTACTGATATGACCACATCTATTATTTGTCCATTTGAGATTGATGTGTTTGATGATCTTGTTTAACTTTTTTTAATCGTTTGTCCAATTTTATCTTAATTATTTAATCATTCTTTTATCTAATGTCATGCAAATTTGTTGTCAGTCATGTGATTTATAACCTTGGAGAGCCAACACTGATAATGATAATACCACATTTGAAATTTGAATTTATCACATTAAGTCAATAATAACGGTAAGAGAAGAAACGTTTGCATGTATATCCTTTGAGGTAAAAGATATTCAGCACCATTCAGTAATAGTTCTAAAAAGTTTAAGTGATGCAAGGAAGTTTGCAATTTCATAAAG